TTAATCAAGAGCACTATTTCGAGCCCTGTAATTTTGCAGGATTGACAAGAAGAAGGTCATCCAAGCCTTTCGCGTTTCATTTTTACAGTATAGAAATGGTCAGAACAAGAATTTGGTCGTTATCCGTTGTTTACATTAAGGTGGACAAATTAATGTACCTGAAAATCACTTTGATCTACTTTCGTTTAACGTAAGTGTTTAAAATTTAGTTACGTTTGCATGTCGCTCGCATTGGTTGCTTTCGTGTTTTGGTTATTTTGTTCCAAGAAATCTAGTCCGCAGAAATTCGGCTTTTACAGGGAGGACTCTCCATCGCCTACTAGAAAGTACAGACGTTACGACCACAGGACAACTGTTGAATGCTTCATTGACTCTTCTGTTCAGTCAGGGTGTTTCTGAGATGCGGTAGACTTTGATCATCATAGTGCGAGTCCTTCCTGCTTTGCTTGCTTATTATCCATTATCCCATAGATATTTTTGCATTTTTGCTTGACTTTCTAGGGATGACACTTTGTTCTTCGTTTTCAGATGCATCGTTATCACGTCGCTCATGCTCATCCACTATCAGCCATTATCGCCAGCTTTATTGTGTGAGGTTTGAATGAATGTCAAGGGAGTCTTTGTTCTTTTAGTGACGGCGTTCCTTTTTTTCTCTTGTCTAATATTTTCTGCTGGTCATGGTAATTTGTGTATCAATCCTAGGGGGTTGTTCTCGAAGTTACCTGTTATTGTATTATTTGTGAAAAGAATTGTTAACTAGGGTTTGTTATTTAAAATATTATTTTAACATCATTTGAATTACAAGGTACTTTAAGACTTTGTTGTTCACCCAGAAAACACTGTTAACCGTTCAGTGTTTGAAGCGTACGTTTGTTTCGGGGATCTTCAAGCTTGAAACCTTTTCGCGGGTTTGTAGTCAAGCACCATTCCCCTGTGCAGACTTTCATTGAAACCGTATGTTCGGTTGAGTTTTAGATGTACATTAATGGGTTTTGTCACCGTAAGTTGTTGGTATGGCATATAAAGAATATATGTTCTGGGAAAATTCATAGGTTACTTGATCATTATAGGCTGTATGCTCATTACTAGACGAAGGTATGCATTCTCGGATACAAACGGCAGAAGAGAGGTTACTTAAAAACATAGTTCTTGTGACAGGATTTGACACTGTTTAGAACACAGCAGTTCTTCGAGATGTTCTTTACTGTGAGTGATTAATTCCCGACATCAAAATTTCACAGTTATCCAGGTTTGGTCATGTGATGAGGACGTCGCAGAAGAGATTTTCCGCTTTTCGATTTGCGACGCTGAAACTGTTGCATCAGCCAGAGGAAAAATCTGCTTAATGATTCGATTGTGTCGAAGAGCTGACTTTGTCGCGCCTTGGAATGTTGCTCAAGGAGCTTGTCTGTTCGGTGGCGGACCGGCATCTTTGGAATGGTTTCCCTCCCCCCCCCCACCCAAAGGGATTAGCCGATTTTGGAGATGGATGACACTGAAACAGCATATTGACAACGAAGGTAGTGCTCTGTGTCATAAAATGATGAAAATGAAAGCACATGATGGAACTGTAGCCTGCTTAAATGACATCATAGGCAACAGGCAACAGTTCTGTACTGTGTTGCTTATACCAGCCGTTTAGAAGAGTTATTCTTGTTACTACTCTTTTTCACAATAAACTATTCCTATGCCTTGTTGGAGAGTCAAATTGGAGGCAGTTGCTTTTTGAGTTGTCTGGTAGAAAGTGACGGGACAAATATCATTTTCCTTTAAGAGTTCGGTTTAAATCGCGTCAGCATTGCATGGCTAGGTTTGCCATTTTTTGACCTGAAAAATTCTCTTTACCTCTCCATTTGCTGACATTACCGGTCAGACATTTGATGGGGCTTCCTTTCGTCTTGTTCGTGAGTCGTCACCTGAGGGTATTCAGAGGGTATTCATATTCATTCTCTTTTTTGGCAAATGTTGTCAAATGTGTGTTTTGACCCGTTGAACCAGGTTTAGGTAGCATGTCTTGCTTTTAGACTGATTTGTCAAAGACATCAGTTGCCACGGCCTCGATCGCTGGCTGTTTGAAAGGTAATGTCAGATCCTCAGGGCTAACGAAAGTGCCCTCTCCCCGTCGTATTTCGCCGTGGCTACTATCCGTTATTCTTCGGCTGTTGCCCATTCTGCATCACGAAACGCGGAGGCTGGACTGTTGAGCCTTTATTGGAGAGTACGTTTTATAATTGGCCATAATTTTACGACCCAGAAATTTATAGGAATTGGGATTTTTAGTTTACGCTTCGTTTAAATAAGAATTTGGCTAATTACAGTGAAAAATCTTATTTTTGGTGTTGGCATGCCGGTTGTGGATATTCATTACTGTACATCCATTTAATTAGCCGTGTTTTTTTTACGGTGGCATAGCGGATCTGCTTTATGGTTGATTTATCGGTGTGAGTTTTCTGGGTAGAGCTTCTACGCTATGCGTTAACCTGATTTATTGTCGAAAATGGCTTTTTCCAAAAATGTTCCTACGAATAAATTTTTCAAAACTGTAAAGTTCGCCAAGTCTAATTTGCCATGTGATTATGCTAATTTTGTACAGATTTCGCTATCCCTATAGTCTGTTAGCTATTTTGTGCCTACTGTTTCTGGGCCAGCAATCTCGCCCCTTTCCCATTTCTTTTTAGCCGTAATATTACTCAGTTGAGAAGTAGAGTGTGTTTTTGCCCGTAATGATGATGGATTTTTATCAAGCCGCGTAACGCTGGTTGTAAAGACTAATTGCCCATTTGTATTTCAGGTCCAGGAATTGCTGATGTTGAAGAACTTTTGGTTATTTGCCATTTTGTTCACCGTTGTTTCTGGTGCCTGTGCTGCTCACAAGTGCGTTTATGGTCGCGGAAGGCTGGTGTGCAACAAGAACCCCGCTGCCGCTGCTTCAGCCGCCGTGAGAATCTGGGACAGAGATGGCATTGGGTTCTTCAGCACTTTCGACCCTCCGGACCTCATGGCGTAACCAAAGTACAAGATATATGCTGTAGTACTTTTAAACGACCACTTTAGATACGCTAAACCTGACGCTAATGGCTTTTTCAGCCTTCGAGGTTGTGGAGACGACTTCGACTGGCTGCCCGGCGTAAAAAACAATCCAGATCCATACTTGGAAGTCGTTCATCGCTGCAACGGCGAAGAACAAACGATGCACTACGACCAACCAGTCGTGTTTCTGCCTGAATCAATGGATTTTTCCCAGATCATACTTGATAACTAGGCCTCCCGTTCTTATTCAGCGGTTGTTAGTTTTGCTCCCTTTTTGGACAGATATTTTTCTGCTGACATTAGTCGTGTGTGATAATTCATAGGCGAATTCATTTTATGCCCTACTTTGTATTTTTGCGTTGTGATATTACGCTGTAAAAATACAATGTAATATAAAAATATGTTTTATAAAGTTTTAATATTTTATGTACTCGCTCGTTTTTTTGTTTGGCTGTTATTTTGCACACAACCTGTCATTCGGTTTAATGAGAGATGCATTTTCAGCTGTTCAGTGATTTACTATACGGCTTGCTGACCGTACTCGGATGCGAACCTTTCGAAAGAACGCTGGAGATCAGTTTCAGAAAATGCGAACTTTTGTCTGCAAATATCGACATTCTCGTCTCCACATCTACACTGATATACTCATCGTCCCAGTTGCACCAAACTATCCTACCCGTGCGCAAAACTGCGAGAGAAGAACAGAACGCAGCCTTGACAGAGATCAGTGCCAACGCTGAAAGGGCTCGACTTTGACGCAGCTTTTCCAATATATGGTCATTGAATGGTCAGTTGGCCATCGATTCCATATGTTTGCAAGCACAAGTACTGGTTGCTGCGCGGAATCCGGCCATAGGCTTTCTCCAATCAACAAGACACTTTTACACTGGATTTCTCAACAACCTGTTTTAGGGTAAACATCGCGTTAGAAATGCTTCAGCTTTATCTGATGGCACACTGATCTGCGTAGATCTCAGAGTTGCCTATTCCGCGTAGATTTCCCGGGAGGTAATATGGTAATACCTCGATAATTTGAGCAGTCATTATGGTCTCTGTTCTTGAGCACTTGTATTACCACTCCAGTTCTCAAGTCTATCCCTTTCTTCTCCATAGCCATTGCAGTTTGACAGGCGTATTATCCACAATATGCGTTTTTTGCCTTAAGGATTTTGCATATCACGGAGGATTTAATTGATTTTGACAGCGGTGCCTCTTTTTAAGTCTTTCAAAGATTCCTTGACTTCACCTACTGAAACAGTAATGTTCATTCCCCTCCTCTGCAGACGAGTCCTCCTGCTGTTACTCAGGGTTAAGAAATTCCTCGGTGTACTCCGCATCGCCGAAAAATGTCCTTATTCTCGGTAAGAGGGTGTCCAGGCCTAACCTTCAAGACTCAGACTGTCCTTCTTTCCACCTCAGAGCCGGCGGATGGTCTGCCCGAATACCTTGTTTACCGTCTGGAAATTTTTCTCCAACTCTTCACCGAACATTTCCCTGGAATCATCTTTGGTTTTCGCTGCCGCCTTGCGTGAACTACTGACTGTATGCGAGTAGAAGGCTCTTCGCTTAGAAGCTATTTCTTGAATGCAGCCTTCTCTTTAACTGTCAGTTGTACCACTTTGCTCTACCTCTGTTTGCAGGCCAACCCGTTTGAATCCGCAGTATTCATCGTCAGCCTCGAAGGTGCCGCTCTTAAAGAGCTGCCATTCAGTTTCCACATCAGTGGTCACCCCCTGGACCTGTTAAACCGTCATGCGATGCTGTTTGCAAATTTCGCTCTCGTATCCGCCGTAGATAATGTTTCACATGTGACACCGTGGTTGCTTCTGTAGCAAAATCTTCAATTTTCTTCATCGTTTGCAGCGGAAGTGACAACAGCAAGGTTTTGATCAACTGCCAGTTCTGCGCCTATAGAGAATATCCGTTACAGAGCATTTTTTCGTCAGATGATAGGATTATCAAATCGATCACCGACCCGTGCACTAGTCTCCCTATGTCAGGTATGCTAATACACGGGCAGTCTGTTGTTTGCACAGAATCGTAATCGGTTCATGCCGTCATTGTTCCTTTTCCAGGGCCGTTCTTTAAGATGACGCATTTTCGATTTTCAGTATCTGCTTCGATATGCGCTATGACTGATTCCGTTGTCGACACCTCGTGCAGAAAAATTTCTGCTTCGTCCTGGACGGATTCAGATTCTCTTGAATTGGGCGCACAGACATGTGACACGGTCAGAGTTTTGGCTCATTATAACTTAAGTCAGAACACTTGGCACTCTCGTGCTCACACGCTTCCATGCAAAGATTCTGTGAACGTTGTACCAAAAATGGTTTGCCAGCCTGAAAGCGGGTCGTGGAGTTTATACCTGAGTGGAATAGTTCAGGATTCGCTATCTTGATATGACGGTGAGAGCAGGGATGATAGACCGTTGACTTATGCTCTGCTCCTTAGAACATGTTTTTCTTTTTAAAAGATAAGGTGCGTGCTTCGGAAGGAGGCATTGATTTTAACTTAAGTTTCATACATAATTTATTGAACTAAGCACGAAAAAACTGAATGACCAGAGAAATATCTGAAAGCATTCTGCTTCTCGTGAATAAAGTTAAATTGCCTGCAGGAAGAGCCCATCTTAATGTATTGGATTCTCGGTTAGACGACGAGTCTTATTTCAACCGACTTAATGTGGTTTGGATTTTGATACAGATGCTGTTTTATCGGGTTGGTACAGGTGCATACGTTATATTGGAGAGCCCTAGATGCAAGTATAGACTGAAAAAAAGCGACTGAAGATCATTATAATGTTTGCGCAAAATTCAAGGAACTATGTGGTTTCAAGAATACAGAAAAACGGTGTCTAATACCAAAAAGGATTAGGTGTTTCATGCTCATTAGGCATGTATCATGTTTTTTCTGTCATCATTCCAGTCGGTGAAAAGAGTTTGAATGGCATTGTGACTCAAAAACAGCTTCAATCCCCAAAAATGACTCTCTAGGGCATAGCTAGGCTACTGGAGTAGGTGATTTTGGTGCTTTTGAGCAAGAAAACTGTCCTTTTTATTCATAGTGAGTTGGAACATCGATAGACATTGTGCACTCATTGGATATTCCATTTATTTAGATAAGCAACTTGCATCGCAATTAAACAATGTTACCGGTACTGGCAGATTCTTCAAAAAAATCTTCTGGCTCGATTTGTTGCATCCAAGCTGCAGCTGGAGATAGGCCATGCAGTGGAAGTCTTCAGCGGGTTCGTTCTATTCTGGTTATACACTGGTGCCTTTTGTATCTGTCCCATTATATATTCTCCGGTTAATCAGCTTCTACTAGACAACAATTTTCCTTTTCCCACTGTCTAGGATTCTTACGGTCAATGTCTTTTGCATTATTGCAAAATTGTCCCGGTACTTTAATATAGGCTAAAAGCACCTAAAAACTGAATATTCTTTCGTTTTAAGATGCAGGCATCGTTTTCTCAGCACAACGGAGTTCAATACTGAAAGTTACATGTCAGCAGTCAATACCTAGCATAATAATTACAAGAAAATAATATTTTCTAGTCTTTTTGCACCTTTGTTACGGGACCTAGCTACCCCCTACATTTAGGCATGGACGATATTTTTCGAAATTTATGGTAGCAAATATAGGTGAATTCACGGTTGAATGGCTAAAAGTTACTAACCTGTTATCAAAAATGAAAACGGCGAATCTAAAGTGCACAGTTTAAAAGATTCGTTAGCACAAAAACTACATCGTTCACATGCAGAAGTCATTGGTTCAACTGAATAACTGCAAAATACTGTTCGCCGCTTACTCCATATGCATATTTCTTTGGCATTAAAATTGTGTTTATGGACGTTAATAAAATGAACTACCTGAGTTTCTCACACCTTGAACACTCTAAATGAGTGGGGCTGTTCACCACTTTTAAAGTACAGTTTCTCAAATTATAAGTTACTTTCGCTTTTCCGAATTTAAATAGATTCTGATCTGACTTGTTGAACAAGCAACCTGCAAAAATACTGGAGGAAACTTCAACCTTACGTGGTATTCATTCTCATTGTCTTGTTGTTTATTATTTCTCTGAATCTTGCCATGAATGACTGCTGAAATTTTCATTTTACATTGTGATGATTAGGAAGGAATATTTAACTTGGAACACTGCCAGAATATTTGTGTTAACGAACGGCTGTTTCAGTTGTCAAGCTGCTTCAAAAATGCTACTACCGCTTAGTCGACAGAATCAGGGCATCTGACCCGCTAGTTAAGTCTCTATTGCCTCATTTGATCAAATTTGTAAGGATTTCATTGAACGGACCAGTTTATAATTCATTAGCTGGCATGTTTTCGTTTTTAAGGACGCAAGTTCAGTGGATAGAGTTTAGTTCCCGCTATTCTTAAGAAACTATAGTTACCAAAGAGAGAAATGCAGACATCCGATGCAAACGATCATTTCACTGATCCTTGTCATCATTCGGAACATTATTACTATTCAGTGATACCGAAAATGCCTCACATATACGGATTACTTCGAAAACATATACAAAAGCTCTAAAGTTAATGGATTAAGGTAAGACACGGTTAGAATCCTACAGTAAAACAAGCCTCTAACCATGTCTTACATTAACCTAGTACAGACTATTATTGTCGCATGTCGTGTAAATCAACTTGAAACTCTAAAATGGAACCGTATGACTTTGTTGCTTTAAAAAATGACGCAAATATATTGGTCTTCAAGTTAAATAAAATGATCATTCACCAACTGTATGACGTCAAAACTGGAAAAAATTTTAACTTCTCAAAATAAATAACAGAAAAGAGTTTAACCGGCGGGAGATCCATCTTCCTTATACTTAAAAAATGGGGTCAAGTTCATTGATCCTATGATAGTGAAATTTACCGTAGAGGCACTAAACTTCATTCCATATCATCATCCATCACTTCATTTTTAGAGTCATAATTGACAACGTTGTTTGACAAGCATCGTTCATAGTTCATAGTGGAACTAATTTATCAAAGTCGGAAGGAAGAAAAGAAAGCGACCTAGACTGGGATTCGAATCGAGGTCGTTTTCGATTTGGGTCCCATGTTCCACTGATTTGAGTGAACCCCGTCTTAAACAACTTATGTAAAGTTCCCAGCTCAAGATATTCGCGATAAAGACAAAAAACGTGCACCAGCCTTCAATGTTTGAATAAAACTCGGTACCTCAGGAATTAGATTTCGAAGCCGATT